CTCTCTCCCACTGTTTGTATGCTTTTCAAGTTTCGATGAACTCGAAAAGTGACATCGGATTTTCTTGTCCAATTTCTTTGCTTCCTCTGTATATCAGAGAATACTTTCCCTCCACGAATTGGTCCAGGTGTGATTCTAACGCCTTCACTGCCCTTTTTGGAAGAAAGACCACACTCTCCGCCAGTTCTATCAGTATGGATGATCCGTATTTGGTGTGGACTTTTTTCGCTGACAACACCGGCTGCTTCTCTCCAACCTGCAGATCTTGCAGTTTTACTATTGGCTTCTGCTCCTCTTCGTCAGCTACTAAAAGGCATTTCTCATTATTGGTATTTAGATCCATATCTAAAATAAGAAAATGCTTACTATTTATTGTAATAATTTTAAAAAAAAATCACTTACTTGTTTTGGGGAGACAGAGAAAAAAAAAACTTGGAGCGAGCACACAACCGTTTCGAAAAGTGGAAGAAGGTGATCTAATTCAAAATTATTTGCAATGCAGTTGAAGTGAACGCGTTCATTATCACTCTAAGGGATCTCCCAACTACTAGCGCGCCCTGGATTTTCCGCATGCAAAATTTTAAAACTAAAATATTCAAGTTGAAAATATGGTTGAATTTTGCGATTATGCATGCATGTGCATTATTTTTTTCTCATAATTTGCTGTTCTTATCACAGGATATATATATATATATATCCCACATTTGTTGTTAATCAAACAATAAAAATTTGCATTTACATCCGCTTACTGTTAATTATTTGCATATAAGTTAATAATATTATCAGCAGGATAAATTCGTTTCTGGAAAAAATTGAATATTTGTTGTAATTTTTTATTTCTCTTTAAATGGAGGCAGAAAATCCAATTATCAGCATCATTATAGAGAGAACTGGTGAGGCCATATGTGCGTATCAGCAAAATCTTGGATCATTACAAGATTTGTCAGCGGACGAATTGAAGTATATTCCGCTATGTTATCTAATTACCTACGTCTTCTCAATCGAATTAGAGCAAGTTTGGGAGTTATTGCCTAAAAGATATCAGGAAAATGAAAGTTTAATGTTGAATTTGCCATGCTATCTACACTATTCCGATAGCATTGATGGACCACCTTCACCGAAACGGAACTGCTGCTTTTGTAATATAAAATCAAAAAATTGATAATAATTTTCATTTCAACAATGGCTCCCTTGGCGAGTAGTTTCGTTATTCTCTGCGCTATTTATCAACAGAAAGTTTATTTCAATGTGCCGACTGGGGTAACAGAAGCGTACATTTGCATAGATGATGGATCGAAAAACGATACTTGGCCCAGTAATTGGAATCAATTGGTTCTAATAAAAACAAAACACTATTGACGTCTATTTGTATACACTTTTCCTGATGAAAACGGTTCTCCTTCTTCTTCTTCTTCTTCTGCTTCTTCACCACCTCCAGAAGATTCACCAGACACATTGACATATAAGCTCAGATTTGTTTATGAAAATCGATCGTATGGATGACATTCATCAAAAAGGAAAAAAATCAGGGCATCGTTGTACCACCGCCATCGCCGCCAGCGCCACTAAATGCATATTATTATGTCTTAATTCCAATCATTTTACTCGTTTTATTTGCTGTATTTTATTTGTTTTTCCGACAGAAAATAGCTACTTTTTGTAAACTACCATGCTAAAAAAATACACAAAATAAAAATCTAAATTTTAGTTTAATCTGCTATTTTTTTATTTATTCACCTTTATGAACAGTAGAGAAAAAAAGATAAAAATGTTCGTCAGCAAATATGCTGCATTCCTAAATTAGCTACTTTCCTAATCCCAATTCTGCTGTCACTATTATGTTTTATTTTGTTTTATCCGTAAAAATCATGTCTCGAGGGAAAAAAAATATTATTTTTACGATTATGAATATTGCTACAATCCAGATGGTAGACGTAATAACAGACCTAATATTTATAAAGGAAATGGTTGTTGAGAATAAAAAAAACTTTATTAAAAACAATGTTTTATTTTCCTGCCACTGACGTAGAAGTGGCGCCAGCATTGCCACCTCTACTACCTACCACCCAAGCCTACAGTCAGATGGCGCGTACGCTTACGCTAACGCTAACGCTATTCCCATTACGATAACGTTATATCGCAGAACCCGCTTTGTTTAACTACTCACCCCTATTTTTATATTTTTTTAGCTCACTCGACAATTAAACTCATTTTTTGAGGAAGAAAAAAGAAATTGCAAGATGTTTGCCGGTGGCATCGATATATTCCACAAATAAAAGGTCGTTCGAAAGTAGTTTTGATTAACAATCAGGCATGCGGGAACAAGGACTGATTGATGGTTTATATCAATCTAGCCCTAGCTTTTGCAATTAATGTGGTATCATGCTCGCTTCCACCGATCCATTTTCTTAAACCTTCCAGCATTAACACCTTCTCGACTGCCAAAGAAGACCACTCATCGTAGTTCTCGCGACCAAGTAACTTTAGTACACTCGCCAAGTGAAGGCCCGTGACTTTTATTTTAAGGGAGGCAGGCCAAAAAAACTCAATGAAAAAAAATTATTCTAATTAAAAAAAATAAGAAGTTTCTCAAAAAAAAACATAAAATAGATTCTCGAAACAAAATAAATTTTCAAAAACAATCAGGAGTTCTTGTTCTGGGATAGGATGAAAAGAATAAATATAGCATATTTCCTAACTGTGCGGACAATAGACTTTCCGCACGAGTTAGGAACACTATTTTTTCTACGAGATGAAAGGTAATATTTTCACCTACATATTTATCAATTTGAGATATTTCTATCCCTTTTTTGTACCTGTACCTGTAGTATACCTGTTTACCAGGTACACAGGTACTTACCTGTATACCTAAAAATTTCAGGTATTCTACTTTTCCGCACTCAGTGCGGAATAGTACGGAAAAGCACTAGTGCGGAAAAGTGATACTTTCATGACCTAACATGCGTGCGAAAAAGTACACTTTTCCGCACGCTCGTAGAGAAAAGTGCTTTGCACAAAATCCCACATCTAAGTCTCAGAATTTCATTGGGATAAATTCAGATAAAATATAACAAAATCGAAAAATAAACTCTCGGAATCAAATAAAATGCAAAAAATAAATTGAATTGTTGCATACGGATACGGACAATGAAAATATCAGAATAGAATATTTTTCCAGGTACGTTTGTACCGGAGATTTCATCGTGAAACTGCTCCATTTGATTTAACACATGAACGAGATCTTTGTTTATTGGAACTATTGACATGTTAGACAGTCGCTCTTGCCAATGTTGAATTTCCGAAGCTGGGTATGCATATGAGCATGAACACAAATGAGGTAATCCGAGGCTGAACCATTTGCCTCGGATTTGGGAAGAAATAAATTTTTGGGTGACCTGAATAGTGGACGCACGAGGCGTTATACGGAATCGATCCATAAATATGTGGTGAGCATTCTTGTTGTTATTAATTTAAATTCTTAATCGCTTTCATCTCATAAATATGGCCGATTCAGATTCTGATGATGCTGAACGCGCTGCGTATTTTATAATTTTAAGTAGTTTATTAAAAATAAAAAACAAGAAAAAACCAAAACGATGATCGTCGCAATTATATCTGAACAGAAAAAGACAACTAACACAAAATAGCACCGGTTTATTAAAAGATCTCTTGGCCGATAAAACGAGTGGGTTTTTTAAAAATTTCACAAGGATGTTTGAAGAAGATTTCTATTTGTTTTTAAATTGTATAAAACCAAAAATAGAGCGACAAGACACGTACTACAGAAAGGCCATTCCAGCAGAAGAAAGGCTAGCACTGACTCTTCGGTTTCTTGCTACAGGAGATTCGTTTACAAGTTTGCAATATCTTTTCAAGGTATCCAAACAGTTAATTTCCGAAATAGTACCAGAAGTATGTCAAGCAATTATCGAGTGTTTGAGTGACTATGTTCAGGTAAGTAATAATAGAGTCAGTAAAAATAAACGTTTATTCTGAAAGAAACAAAATTGTTTACAGTATTTTGTCGACAATAATGCAAAAATAGATATACATTAATTTTTTTTGTTAAAATGTGTAAACATTTTAAGAAATTATTTGTTGTGATCTTGGCAATAATAAAATTATTTATCTATGTAAATGACAAACTAACGGAAGCGTACAGCAGTAAAGTGGCAGTAGGGTGCAATTACGTCTTTTTCCTACTACCCTTTTGAAAATGAATATAATAACACTAGACTCTGCTTAAGAAAATAGCCTATAGCACACTTGTTTGTTATTTTCCTAACTTCGTATACTAATCTATCCTAACCTATCCTAATTTAGTATGATTGTCGAAAAAATATTTACAACATAAGTGAAAATATATGTAAGTACATATTTTAAAACAAAATGTGAGATTCTGCAAATCTATAAAATAAACGCTCACAAATTTAGAAAGGAATCGTCATCATCTGAAAATCTTTGAAAATAATCGGTTAGACTATTACTGTCATGAGGTGATACTGCTGTAGTCGAGGCTGTAGTACTACTGCTACTGCTTGCTGTACTAAGTGGTGTAGAAATCCTTGGCGGTCATTGTTGAGGACAATATTTTTGACGACCATGAGGAAAATTTAACTGTTCTAGTTCGAACAAAGTATTGCTTATACTATGCTGAGCAGCAGCGCGATATTTGTCATTGAATTTTCTTATTTTATTACCAACACATAATCTGCAAAAAGCTGGCAGCCATCTTTAGGTCGATCAGAGACTGCAGATTTCTTTTGAAGATAGTTGAATACCTCAGTGAGTCCTGGATCTTCCTTTGTTTTTGTTTTTGACCAAGAGCGTTTCTGTGGCGACTTAAATAGTTTTTTTGGTTTCAAGGTATCTTCTGCTTGGTCGCTTGACAACACTTAACTTTCTATTTTCACATTTTTTGAATTATGTGCCGCCTCAGGGTCATCTGCAATCTACTCTTGTTCCGTCTGTTCTTTTTCTGTGTTTTTTTGTTCCGTGTGCTATTGTTCCGTGTTGTTATCTGACTCTACCCCATCACTTTCGTCGATTGCATCCTAAAATATAAAAAAACGAAATTTAACAAAAAATTTGCTGTAATAAAAAAAATCTTTTTTTTCCAGATGCCTTTAACTGAAGAAAAGTGGGCACATATTGCGCAGCAATTTGAAAATAAATGGAATTTCCCAAAATGCCTTGGGGCGATTGACGGCAAGCATGTCGTTTTACAAGCACCAATAAACAGTGGCAGTGAATACATAAATTATAAATCTCATTTTAGTATAGTTCTGATAGCTACCCAGCGGACGCCGATTACAATTTTACCTTCGTCGATATTGATTGCCAAGGCTGTATTTCTGACGGAGGTGTTTTAGTTCTTGGCAATACTATATTATCTAAGGAAATAGACAAACAGGAGCTAAAATTACCTCCTTGTTCACCTTTAAATGGAAGAAAAAAGTCGGTGCCCTACGTGTTTGTAGCAGTTGCAGCATTTCCTTTAAGGGATAACATTATGAAACCATATGCTGGTTATCACCCTTAAGGTTCTAAACAAAGAATATTCAACTACAGATTAAGTAGGGCTAGGCGAATTATCTAAAACACATTTGGTGTTACATCTAGCGTCTTTGGAGTGCTGCGAAAACCTATGCTGTTGGAACCAGAAAAGGCAAAATATGTAGTAATGGCTATTGTGTCGTTGCATACCTTTTTACGAAGAAGCAAAACGTCTAGAAATTAAAATGGTACAATAATATCTGGAGTATGGAGAAACGAAGAACAACAAAGCACATCCTCTTTTCTTCCCTGAAGAAATGTCCCGCGCAGAACTAAACTTAGTTGTCAAGAAGCAAGGGATGAGTTTGCACAATATTTTATGACAAACGGAGCTGTATCTTGGCAAAATAATTATGCATAAAAACATGTTAATTTTATTGGTTGTATTTACTTAACTATATAAAAATTAAAAAATTCAAATATACCTACAGTGAGAGTTTTCTGCGGATCATCCCGGTCGTCCAAAAATTTCATACTTTCATACGCAAACCATTTCGAAAAATAAATTTGATCACGACCTGTAAAAAAAAGTGTTTTTATTTAACAATATTTAAAAATTATTCATATTTAATTACAAATAATGGCACCTCCGGGGAAACAAATTCATAATTGCAGATTCTAAAAATGTTGAGGAAACGGCTTTAAAGTCTTTCAAATTCATTCATGCAAATAATTAATGTGACGTTGCAATTTTCCTAGTAATAGGTGTGTAAAAATGTTTAGAGAGCCTTTTAATATTCACAGATGTTGACTTTATTTGGTATGAATGAGTTTGGTTTTGAAAATTGGAAAGTCGAATCCACAAAATTTTTAAAATCTGCAGTTAGGTATGACTTTGTTTCCCCGGAGGTGCGAAATTTCAAAAATGTAATTAACAAGCCAGTTCCTTTTTTATACTCTACTTTTCTCTCGTCTGAGAGAGCCCTTAAGACTTTCGATTTTCTTTTTAATAACTTCTACTATATTTAAAATCTAAGCTACTTCTGGCCATGCGTCTTTCTTTTTAATTGTATTATGACACAATGGGTGTCTTGGTTTCCATAATATCTCCCTTTTTTGATACTCTTCAAGAAGCATCAACACAATTTGCTGAGACCATTCCATTTTATTTCAAAAAACTAATATTATTAATAATAAAAGACATGTACACAACTACTACTTTACAACAACACGTGGACTGCCTCGACCTCGAAATGAATTTTTTTAAATTTCCATCCACGCTGAGCATATATGAGCAGCGCACGAGCAGATGCATCACTTTGATGTACCGCCAACAGTTGGATCGGGTCGAGGCCAAATGCATGCGGGTTCAAACAAATTTGCACGCCTCGTTAAGACGTACACATAGGTACGTATGCTCATGCGTCCTCGGGCTGCCTCATTCGCGTTCATGCTCATATGCGTACCCAGCTTGTTTTTTTTTTTTTTTTAAATTCGTTCCAGACCAGAAAAACTTCTCTCGACTGAAGCGCAGGTAACTGGAATTTCAAGAATTAAGCAAATTAGTTTGTATAATTCGGGCATACAAAGATTGAGTTCGCAGTTGGTCATATATTCCAACATTTCTAAAGGAGTCTTACAGCCATATTCATAGTCAATTGCCAGCGACTCGCCAGGGAGTCGCCGTGTGCTGGGCCAAATACGGCGAGTCGCTGGCGATTGACTATGAATACGGCTGTTAGAATTCTGCAAAATTGCATCACTGTATAAAGCGAAAAGTTCATTTTTCAACTGTATAGAGTCAAAAAGTTTTTCAATAAACTATCCAATAATTCCTGCGGAAATAAAGTTGAAAAATTTTGAAAATTGCTTACTTTTAGGAAATCAAAAAAAAATTAAGTTCATTCATATCTGAAAATATAATTTCAATAGGAAAGTTTAATGGTTCCGCACAAAATTTCGCGTTGCTGCTTCCGGCTGTCAATGTTTCAAGCGACATTTAACTACGTGATGAACGGGGAATATATAAAATGACATTTTGTAGCATTTTTACAGGGGAGGCACTGCCTTCCCTGATGAGCCGCGACTGGTCATTTCTTCTAAAAACACGGAGAGTCACACATTTTTGCGATAACACAAACCATTCTTCATAACTAATCTCCCCGATCTAAACGTAAAATATTGTTTTTCACTAATTTACTCGAACAAAACTCGATTAAGCACTAGAAAACAAGAAACGTAACAGTCTGGGTCTAAACGTTAGGCAAAGCAATCAAGGGAGGAAAAGGAACTTTCCGTACGAGTTAAAAAGCTATTTTTTCTACACGGAGAAAAAACATTTAGTACGGTTTATTAGAAAAACATTACGGCATACAAGATTTTATAATAACATATAGGACGAATACCCAGTTTAGTACCATTTACAACATTTTCATAATAATTTGTCAATAAAATATTCATTATGTTTCACTATATTTTATGTTGAATATAGTTAGGGAGACGACCGCATTTTTCCTACCCCGATCGAGTTATGTGTCGACACTATTATCAATATATAGTATTATGTGCATCTATTAACCAGTATTCCTGCCTGAGAGCAAATGCTGCCGGAAATATCATTTAACAAATTATTAACAAATTGAAAAAAACGTAAGTAGGGTATCAGATTGAAGGTCTCGATGTCCCCTATCTAAAAAGTCGATCCTGCCTCTTGAGAACTTGCCGGAAAAGGGTGGCAGGGCAGCTTATTGGGGCAAGGGCCCGCGGTCTTAGCTTTGACACCTATCAAGTTTTTCCCTGAATGATGTGTCAAATTAAAGGCGTTAATAAGTTGATTTAAGGTCTCTTCGCACAGAAATCCCAAACCAGAAGGAGTGAATTTCATTGGTTGAAACTAGTTTCCTGACTGTTTCCAACCAATGAAATTCGCTCTGATAATTTTTTTCCATATACATACATCATAGGTACCTACATTCATGATGGTAGGATAGCATTCAGTCCAATTTATGTATAAACCATCACACTTTGTGGGATAATTTTTTTGAAAGTCGTTCAAAAGTAAAATGGAACCTTGTGGTTATTTTAGAACTGGAAATGCTTCAAAATATTCCATCACGCATATTCCCTTTTTGATCATGTTCGTTGCATTGAAGGAAATGTTCCAATTATTTTCAATTTTGTCCATTGGAGAAATATTGTATTTGCAAAATTCAATTGCATACTGTTCTTGCTGATTAGGTTCATCATCTAAATTGTCATTTTTGTCTGGAAAAGCTGAAAAAAAGCAGTAGCTAAGGACATCTTGAATAATCCATTGTTGAGGGTAAAATTGGATCTATTTCAACGTTTTATAAGTCAAGTGGCAATTGACAACAGTTAAAATTACACTATGGCGTGATATTACTTACTTGTTGTTTTTGAGGAACACTTTCTCAGCACATTAAATGTTTTTTTCATATTGATTTATCTTGACCAAAACTTTCCACTACTTTTTTGTGAAATGTTCTTGTACGGGCGAAAATAAATTTCCTCCGACTCTTTTTTGAAGACTGTAGTAATTTCCTTTGCTACTTGTTGGAATGTAATCTGTGGAATCGTGAAACAAAATTATTTTAGTTGATAATAATACTTACAATTCAATTAAATATTGTAGTAATTATTACTTTTCTTTGTACTTTTTCATCAAAAATTCGATGATCAATCTCATCAACTTCTTTATTGTGGGGACTTAAAAGTTCATGTGATAATAAGAGTAATTTCCCTTCAGTGTTGTCATCAAGGTATTTTTCAAGACTCTAAAATAAACAATTTTTAAAAAGTCAACAAATATCAAATAAATTTCTAATTTTATTATTTCATTACCTCAGGAAAAATAGATGTTCTTAGTAAACTCTCATCATGGCAATGTTACATAGTCTCCAATACAGGCTTAAAAAAATGATCGTGTCAGCTGGTACCTCAAGGTATTCTTCTAACTTTTCTACAGTTGTTGTAGAGGCACTTGACGGTGACTGAATTTGGATTTCATTGACTATGACTGGCGTGACTGGTGATGGTGATGTTGATTTCTGGGTTTCGGGAATAATAATCTGAAACAACCCTTTATTACGTACCCACACAAAATATTTTTGAAGTCACCTCTGTTATATATTTATTGTACTTAGCAATAAATTTCAATCTCTTCCCAACACTAGGGATAATTTCTTTTATTAAATCCGGATGAGATGTCATTGCTTCCAAGTCTATATCGTTAGCTGAAAAAAAAAAGTAAAACAATTTAAATAGGAGGGTTTATTCCATAGTATATACGAATGAAATGTAAAAGAAAATAACCCAAAAAAAAATCATTTTTTTGATGTCCCCTTCCTCCACTCTGCAGAATTATAAATTAAATTAATTTTGGCCCACATTGAAATATTTTGCGCTTCCGTTTTATGCGTATGTGAGAGTTGATCAAAACTTACCTTCAAAGGAGTCCAGGAGTTCACTCAGCTCAAAATTTTTCAAAATTTCTTTAATACTATCGTTGATACTATTCATATTGCACCACAAACACACTAAATGATAAATATTGAAAAACGTAAACATCGATCAAGCGTAGAACAGGGTGGCGAGGTGTGACTCACTCACTAACCGGCAACTAAATGAATCCCAAGTATCACTGAAAATAAAATGTCTGTCTTTGGCGTACAAGCTAAAATAAAAATAGTAAACAATAACATTTTTATTTCCTAGCTTGTACAATGTGAATATTTTAAAAAAGCACTTTTATTATAGATGGATAGAGTATCCTCTAAAATCTTCTGATATTAAAAGTTACTTTTAAAATAAATGTAGGACAAATCTTAATAAAAAATATTGTAAAATAATGTAAAATAGGATTCTAAGTAGATTTTATATTCTGGCGTGTCAAAATGGCAATATTATGGACTTCATTTAAGTGTCAAAATGACATACCTTATTGGATCGAGTACTATAATGATTTCATTTTAGTCCTGAGTACTATAATGATTTCATTATAGTACTAAGTACTATAATGAGAAAAAAAATATATGGGTATAGCAGGCACAAATATGGAACATCTATTGGAAACAACAAAATTTAACAATTAAAATTAATTACAAAATCTTTACAATTCGATAAACTGATCTTGGACTAGGTGTCGAAATTTTCGCACATTGTTTTTCAGTGAATTTAACTTTGACAATATGGCAAGACAAACAAACAATTCCGTTGTTACTAGTTGTCAAGCAGTGAAGCACATTACTAAGATTAGCCTTCGCCGGAATATAAAATATTGTATGAAATTCGGATCATAAACAATCATTATGATCCTTATAACATAAATATCTATTATTATAAATTATATTTAACAATAACATGTTAACGGTTTGGCGAGAAATTATACTAAGTATTATAGTAGATCGTATTATATATTCAATATTTTTCAATTATTATAAATTTTTAGTCACTGATACTAAAATATGCTTATAAGCAATATAATAATTTTAATAGCAAACACTAGAATTTATTTACAAACTATTAGAATAAACTTATTTTTTTCCGTGTACGAGATGGAGGTTAATATTTTTGCCTATACATATATTCTCCAATTTCAAAGTATTTTTCCGCAAGTATATTTGCACCTGTATATCTACCTACCAATTTAAGGTACTTTCACTTAGCCGCACTAGTGCGGAAAATTGATACTTTCATTGCCTAAATACTGCACGGAAAAGTAGAGTTTCACGCACACTCCTAAAAAAAAAATATTATCAATATATTATTATTAACTTAACATGTAGAAAAGGTAAGCATCTCTCTCAAAATATTTCTTAACCCTCGGGCAGGCGCGCTATTGGTCTTTTATGACGGCTTTTTACCAATTCAAGGACTTCGCAATTATTTTGGATTTTATCATATTGTCCGTCTAGCTATGCTCAAATGACTATATTAGCAAACCTACTACGCACAATTTACGACCTTAGAGCGCTTGTTCAGATGTCGATGAGTTCTTGAACTTGCAGGTGTTGAGTTTTCGGCATTCCGTGTCGCCAGCGCACCTGGTCATGTAAGTAAAATTGAAAGGGAATAATACAAATATTATGAATATTATTTTTGTGTTTTTGCGAAATTAGTATCAAGGATTTCATTTAGTTGCCTAGAATTACAATTTATTCAATTTTTTTACTTTATTTGAAGATAAATTTTGATATTTTGAATTATTTCGTACATTTTTCTACTGGGGGCACGCAGTGCCGCAGCGTGATTTTCAAATGCGCGCCCGCCCGAGGGTTTTAAATTGGTATTCTGCAAGATATCCTACAAAATCGTGTTCTTTGCGTCCATCTCTTGGTATATTTCCACTTTCTTGAAATGTTGTGTGGGTTTATTATGAGGTCGTTAGGATCGATACAACTTAGGGAATAAATAATTTTCAAATGATAAAGCCCTCATATTCCAAACCGTCGTATGCTTTCTAAAAGTCTGATATAATAGAAGTTCCTGGTAATATCCATTCTTTGATGACTTCTAACAGTGTTTCAGTATTCCTATTTGATATGGTATCAGAAAGGTGTGATTTGTGCCCTTCTCCAAGCCTCCAAATACCCATTCTCTTTGTATAACCCGTCCTCTTTTATATTTTCTTTTTCCAAATTTGGCTTCATCAATTTCCACCACTTTGCCTTCGCCTCCAATTTTTTTCGAATATTGTGCCTAATTTAGGCACAGACAGAAAGATGCCCAGCTTACGGCGGTTCCGCTACTGCTTTTAATCCTTTTGTGATAAAATTTTGTCTTGGATGGGTTATTAATAACCACATCACACAAAAATAAAAATTACATGCGATTTTCATCTTTGATTTTTGGAACCAGGTTTCCGTTTCTGGCAGATTTTTTAAAATTGCAAAAAAGTTTTCTGTTTTTCACTTTTTCTGTTGAAGCCGATCTACATAGTTCACTTTTCCGCTACGATAATTCAAGCTATTTATGTCCAGATCTGCATTTCCGTCACACATTTTGAGCACTTTATAAATTCCATGATTGCTTTATGTTTCACTGGATATTCAATTAATTTTTGCTTATTGGCTGATAAAATTATAGCTTCCCGAAAAGTAAGGAATAGTTTGAGCAAGCCATTTTATTGAAAATATACTTAATACAATTTTTTTTTTGTAATTCCACTGTCATCACGGTGATTTTATCATTTGTTTTTTCTTCCATGGGCTTACCTCTCCCTTGCCGTTTATCTCACGGGTCGTTCCCACTAGAACACGTGGATGCTATATAGGCTACGCTACGCATCAATTTCTCCTCCTGATGACGTTTTTAAAGTTCCTCTTTTCTGAAGTTCTGAAATACTATATTATTCAATGATCATGTAATGATAGCCATTAATACAAGAGAATGGTGTAGGATACGAAAAGAGCTGCAGGCGAGTTTCGTATATAACGAGTGTATCAATGGCCATTACATGAGAGTTGCATACACTATTTTTTCTACTTGCATTAATAAACGAAAAATATATTTATTTTATAAGAATAGGAAACTACTCAAATGGTGGTGCCATCTATTGACAATTTAAAAAATTAAGATCTAGACGTCATTTGGGCATACATTTCGCACTCGATTTATTAATTCTGTGTTGTTTCTTTTTGTAAATACCAATAGAAACAATCCAAAAAAAGTCTGTTATTTTTATATAAACATTGTTCATGTTCAAAATAACTCGATTCTAGTGGCTGAGAAATCAGTATCATAATGAAAATCTGTATCATAATGAAGTTCATTAGGAAACATATTTTAATCCTTTAATAAGCGTATTACAAAATAGAAGAATGAAAATGATTGTTTATTCCAACGTTTTTCGAATATTATGGGATAAGTCAAGTAGATATAGTATCAGCGTTCTGCATCCTCCGACGCCTCCCTGACGTCTGCGCAAGCGTCAACAATGGCGTCGCCACATCATGCCGTTATCGGTGGCGCCATCTAGTGTACATAGTGTGAAGTTCGTATTACAGGATGCCGTAGTGCTAAATAAAAAAAAAATCGTGAATCATCACGACGCCGACTTTTGATGGGGGAAACCCAACTAACATCTTTCGCAGCTTGAGGTTTTATTATAGGGTAACGAAGATTTATAAGAGGTTTATAGGGAACTTTTACTTTTATAATGGTTTTAAAAGTTCTATAAGAAAACCATTGGTGTAACAGGTTTTGTAAGACGTTCCATAAATACCAGAATACTTTGAGTTTTATAATATTGCAACCAAAACGTTTCTGTTACTTTTTCTGTAAAACCTTTAGTAATGGTTACTTCGGGTTTTTTGACAAGGTTTTATAGCGTTCTTAAAAACTCTATTATAGAACTGTTACTTTCGGGGTTTTATAGCATACTCCGTAAAATTTTTATAAATCCTAAGCAGCTAATAAATATTCTACAGCAACTAATAAACTTAAAGAATGGTATAAAACTTAGAGGCACAGTAACAACTTCTTTATGTAGAAGGAGATGAGGCCGCTTTATGAGGTTATGATATTCATTATTATTATTTATTGTTCTCAAATATAAAAATGTCGCAAGCTAACAAAGATTGGCAAAAAATTAAATATAGCAGCAGCTTTTATAGAAAGTGTGCTAAAACCCGTGAAAGTATCTTGCGAAGTGCACCATCAGACAATAAATCGTCCAAAACTCCATCAAATAATCCAATAGACCAAAATTCAGATATTCGTCAAGAGAATATTACATTGGCAAGTACCTCTGATGTAACTATCATCGATGAACAACGCGATGAAGATAGGAACGAAGTACAGTTAGAGAAAGAATGTGTTGACACAAGGGAAAATTGGTTAAATGAATTAGTCGATGACCAAAGTTCCAATGAGGTAATTACTGAAGATAACAATTACGAACTGCCTATTGAGAAAAAAAAAATGTTAAAAACTGATTTGAGATGAGCCGTTTCCTCAAATATAAGCCAAAGTTCATTAAAGGTCCTTTTTCCAGTTGTGATAATTATTGGCCAAACACCCTTCCAAAAGACCCTAGAACTTTATTAGAAACACCAAATAAAACAAATATTGTGGAAATAGCTGACGGACAATTCTACTGGCATCAAGGCTTAGAGTATTGCATTAAAACGTACTGCAATTTAAAAAACAATATCGGGAAAACCATTTAGATTAATATAAATATGGATGGGATCCCGATCTATAAAAGTAGCAAAGATGAATTTTGGCCAATTTTATTTAACATTCATAATCATCGAGAAATAAAGCCGATGGTTATTGGAATTTTCCAAGGTAAAAGCAAACCATCAAGCGTTGAACTGTTTCTAAACCCATTTGTCGAAGAATTCAAAAAAGTATCTAGAGATGACATTCAGCTAGAAAATGGAGAGAAAATCAGTATTAAAATTCGATGTTTTATAGCCGATTCTCCTGCAAGGGCATTCATAAAAGGTAAGTACACCTGCGATCTACTTTTATTCAATTTCCTCCAAGACCTCTTCTTGAATCCTCTCAGCTCTTTC